CAGTCATGTTTGCAGCAACACCCTTACGATGTGCTTTAGAAAGGACAAAAGTGCCCATATATCGAACTAGTTTGCTAATAGGCTCTTTTAAGTCGACTGGTGGCTCATCGAGTAAGATCGGCTTCTCCAACCTTTCCAAGAAATCCAAGTGTTGGTACAGCCTCTCAATCCTTTCTTCATTTGTCAAATATTCGTATATGTGATCTATGACCATTTCTTGTTCTGCAACTTCCCTCTTCTTAACTTGTTTTAACTCTCTTGATTGGCTTTCCAGCCTCTTCTTCAGAGGCCGCAGTTGTTTGTCAGCGCATCAGATGGCATCTCTGAGCTCTTGTGTCTTGAAAAGTTCAGCAGGTGTCTGCATCATGGTTAGCCAGTTTTTTAGGTAATTTGAGGCACTACCAGGTGTCAGGCTTTTGTTTTCAAGACCAAACTTTATGAATTCTTCAACTGCTTCGTAATCTGCGGCTCTCTGAAGTGGCCGTGGGGATTTCTCAAATTTCTTATTTCGTTCGTCGATGTAATACAAAATTCGGCGAATGCTTGTTGGGGAGTTTTTTATATTCGCAAGCTTTTTCCCCTCCTTCGTCTTTGTCTTAATGTACGCGGCAACGACCTCGTCGCTGTCCGGTACTTGGGGAAAGAGTTCTGCAAGTTTCTTCTTGGCAGACACATTTACATTTGATGGACCTGTCGAATGAAATTAACAGAAGTTAAATTTGGAAGTGATGGTTTGTTGGACGTCAAATTGGCCTTGTCTTATTTTCAAACAATGTCAGTGTGACTTTGCAGCCTCGTGAAACAATTTTAAAGTGAGGTTACTCTGAAATTGTTTAAAAAAACAGCAATGCTAGCCTGGCTTCACTCTTAATTCAGGCAATGTCAAACTGGCTCTTGTCAATAACAACGTACCTTCTGGGGCAGGGTCGTCTTCCGTCTCCTCGTATTTCTCAGGTTCAACGTTTTTGTCTCTGGAACTGGCTGATTTGCTGAGGAAAAAAGAAAAAACAATTATTGCATCCCTTCAGTGTGGAAAGCGTTCCATGACATAAAGAGAGGAAAAAAAATTATTACCACGCATCTGGTCCTTTTGGAACATGATGGTTACTCCCACCTTTAAAAATACCTCATCTATGAAATCTCTTGTCTCATCATCTAGCTTCAATCGTTTCTCGAGTTCAATTCCATCAAGAAATTTCATTCCTCCCCTATAGGGCTTATTACTTTGATTTGTAGCAGTTGTAAATGTAATCTTTTGCTCTTTCAAGTCTTTGGCGTGTACTGTTTGGACGTGGGCAGCCATGTTCCCGGAACTTTTCCACACGCCGCAAAAAACACACTTCCGAGAGTCAGATTGGCGCTTCCACTTTTCCAAGTTCTGCAATTAAGATAAAAATAAATGACCAGAGAAAGCGAGAGGGGGGGAAGTATGATTAGCCTGACCTTTTTGTCCTCCACTTCAGTGGTGTCCTTCGTCTTGAGTTTCTTTGGCAAGTTGAAAAGAAGGACCTCCGCTGATCTCTTCCTGGTTCTCTTTTCTTTAACTTCACTTTGTTCATTTTCAGCTTCTTTATTCTTCGTTCTACGTTTGACTTTTCTTGACTTTACTTTCTTTTTGTTTTCAGGTTCCTCTTCAGAGGATAAAAGTTCCTTTTCATTTCCTTTTGGCATCCACAGATCGTCCTGTGAAAAAGAAAAAGTTTTGGAAGGTAAAATGTTAACGTTCAATACAAGACCGTGTTTGTTTTTATTTGAAAAGTATGAGTTCTTACAGAAACTGATCCGTCGAAATCGAAATGTGCATTTTTTTTCTAGAAATTCTGCCTTTTTTTTTTCTTTGAAAGTCCAATATCAGCAGTGTTGGCTGAAGATGCCTTATCATCATTATCGTCATCACTATCGTCATCACTATCGTCATTATCATCGTCATCATCATCGTCATCTTCATCAGATTCCTGGAAAAGAGGTAAGTGAAATTGCGGAAAGGTGTTTATTTTATGTGACGTTCCCATTATTTTTTTACTAACAGGTTTCCTTGGTGGTCTGTCGCAGACCCCTATTTTCACTTCCCCATTCTGACGTTCAATTTTGAAGAGCCATGGCATATTTTGGATGAAGAAGGTAATAATAAGGCCAAGGTCTTAAATTATCCGTTCGCAGTAAGGAAAAGTAAGACTGTCCTGCTTTTGAAGGCACTTGTCATCTTTAAAAAAATTGCTGTGGCTTTTAAAAAGCATCTGGATGGTACTTTTGCAGGGCTCATCTTTAACCACTGAAAAAATGAGACAATGTAATAGACATGATTGTAAATTGTAAATACAACGCATTCCACCACATCTTTAAACAATTATACGATACACACTTCCCCATTAAGAGAGTAAAAGAAAAAAAAGAAAAAAATCTTGGATAACAGCTGGTATAAGAGTAACTTCAAAACACTTAAGAGATTTGTGCAAATTTATCAAAACAACTAACAATACAATACTCATCAACCAGTTTAGAAAATAATAGATTAATATACAGGCAAGTCATCAAGAAAGCCAAGTGCTTACACAACCAAAGAATGGTACTGGAATCCAAAACCAAAACCATATGGACGTTAATAAATGAAAATATTGGCAGGACAAAAAGAGAGCATACAAACTTGAGCATTGCGAGAGAAGATGGAAAAATTACTAGTGATCCAGATGAACTCAGTGACATATTCAATGACTATTACTACAATGTCATAAATGACCTACAAAAGGAAAATCAGGAAACAGGCACAAAAACAAAGAAGCAAATTAACAAGTCAATGTATGTAGGTTCAGTTACTCGGAGTGAGATAATTAATGCCATTGCCAAAGTAAAAGATAAGAAGTGTTGTGGTCCAGATGATATAACGGATGAGATAATTAAAGTCTGTCATCAGAACATAATTGAACCTTTAAGAGATATTATCCATCTATCATTTGAAAGTGGAATTTGTTTAGAAGCATTGAAAATTTCTAAAATAGTTCCGTTACATAAAAAAGGAAGTAAAGATTTAGCATCAAACTATAGGCCGGTTGCAAATCTTTCTGGTTTCTCAAAAATATTTCAAAGTATTATGGCAGACCGTGCCCAGTCCTACCTAACAAATTTTCGTATAATTTCTCCATCTCAGTTTGGATTTGTAAAACAGAAAACTACTGCAGATGCAGTCCTTGATTTCATCCACCTCATTTATAAATGCTTTGATGAAAAATTATCTGTGATGGGTACATTTTTTGATTTAACCAAAGCATTTGATATGGTTGATCATAAAATTCTGCTAGACATACTTGAATCATATGGCATCCGTGGACATGTAAAAGACTGGTTTCATAGTTATCTCAATAATAGAAAGCAATATGTACAAATTACCTACAACAATGGACAAGCTCAAAGTCCCTTTTCATCACAGCTTAAAGATGTAATTTGTGGTGTTCCACAAGGGTCGGTTCTGGGACCCCTACTTTTTAAAATCTTCATTAATGATTTAGTAGAATACATCACATGTGGACATTTTGTAAACTTTGCCGATGACACCAATTTAGTTGTGTGGGCAGAGACACTGGAAGACCTTGAAGAAAATCTAAAACAATCCATACTAGGTAGATGTACGCCAGACCACGTCTCGCGTAACAGGCTTCGCGATATCTCACGAAACACTGTTGCGCTGCGACGCGCCTGGCATACATCGACCTAGGCCTGCGGCGCTGACACCCAAGTCGGGTAGCGCAAAAATTACAGAAAGACACGGGCCGGGCCGGCCGGCCCGTCAACATCCCGTCACTTCGACGAAGCATTCGGGTTGTACATTTTTTCGCTTGTTTTCGTCAAAAACTCCCTGTGGCGCCTAAAGATATAGCCAAACGGCCGAATATTTCGCCCAGAGGGCTCTACTTTGATGAGTTACCCCTAAGAAAACTGTAAAAATAATATTGTTTGTAAACATTATTTGTGGGACCTGTGGTTTTTGATTTTTTAAAAATCCAATTTTTGAGCTAGAATGCTCTTCTTCGAACTCGATCTGTCTTTTTATGATACAAAACGACCCTGAAAATCCCAGGTCGCTAGCTCAATTTGTTCTTAAGTTATCGTGCGTACAGACAAACACACACACACACACACACACAGACAAACAGATGCGAAACTTTTTGATCATCACTGGAGTAATAGGCTTCGCTAATCGCTCAGCCAAACAAGAAATGACTACTTGGTGAAATGTTAATAAGCTGCTTCTCAATGAATCTAAAACAATCCTGATACAATTCAGAACTAATATAAGAAGAATTCAAAATATTGTTGATGTCAAAACAGCCACAATTACAAATCATGCACTTTTCCATTCAGTTCTGAGCCTAAAGGAGGGTGGGGTTCGACGTCAAGTGTGTGGTAATAGTATTACTTCCTGCACAATTTTTCAATATAAGGCCTCTCTTGCGACTTCATAGACCATTTAGTCGTGTTCACCTTATTTTTGTCAAGAAATGCCTCCTAGCGTCCAAACGGTACGAGATGAAGCAAAACGGACGAAATTTTCGCCCTAAAGTTTCTATTTTCACAGGTTACCCGTTAGGAACCCCTGAAAAAATATTTGGTAAAAAATACATTTTGCCTTCTGTGGGTTTTTGATTTTCTATAAAGTCAATTTTTGAGCTAGAATGCTCATCTTCGAACTCGATCTGTTTTTTTATGATACAAAACGACCCTGAAATTCCCAGATCGCTCTATCAATTCTTTCTTGAGTTATCGTGCGGACAGACAACCAGACAAACAAACAAA